CATGGCAACAGAACCATCACAACGGCCTCGGCTGTATCTTTGCAAGGCTTTAAAACCCTGCCTTTGCCTCCTCCAGCCCTCCTATCTGTGCAGCGCTGCCTGGCCCGCGGCGAGCTTCCGGGTGCGTGTGTGTGCTCCCCCCACCTAACCCCCCCCCCCACGTCCACCTCCACCTCCACCTGCAGGCCCTCCTGCCGAGCATGCGTGCCCTGGAGGACAGCATCTTGACGGGGGCCTTCATCTGCCCTGGTGTCTGTCAGGCCCTCTGACCAGATCTGGGTTCCATCTGCTGGCTGCTCCAGCTGGGGACGAAGCAGCGGCTGCATTTCCTTTGCCTGTTGCCCGAAAGAGAGGGCTTTTTATGCCTTGGCGTCCCTTAGATGCCCATCCATGCCACTGTACTGGGTATTTCCATGTTAGCTGTATTACTCTGGACATTCCCAGTTTTAAAAACAAGTACTTAGGTAATACAGGACTATTAAGCATTCAAATACTGTATTGTTAATAACTTTGTAAATGGCACGCTTATGAACAGGTTTATAAGTAAATGGCTACCAAGCCGACCCAGTGTGTCTCTTTCTCCTTTTGGGCATACAGTGGACACTAGGGTTTCCGTTAAACTGGACAAAGTTTAACAATCACCATTTGTGGCATTGCATGCTCCTGTCTCTGATTAGTTACCCAAGATTTCAAGATAATCAAATACTGCTTTCTATGTAGCAATTGTTAAAGAGTTACAAAATACTCAACATTAAATCTATAACATAATTTAATATTTTATTTCCAAGTCACTAAGCATGAGTTATTTTTAGATGAGAAATGTGAGGACATTCCCGATGCTTGGCTTACCTGCTGGCTCAACCTAGGTTAACAAGTTTCTCATAGCATGGAACGTTGGCCAGGCAGCGGATGGAAGCATCCTACTGGAGACTAAATTGCATGCCACCGACAGCAGCTTGAACTCTTCTGCATGTTTGTTCCTTGCGTGCTCTGCAGCTCCGTGGGAAGAGCAGGGAAGGAGGCGAGGGGCCTGCAGGGCGGTCCTCAGGACACGCATCCCTAGCGCTCTTCCTGACATTACGTTTTCTGTATAGTTCGTCCTAAGGGTCTGTTTCTGTCGCAGGCGTCTGTGTTGGAGGACAGCAGCCTTATTGGGGCTCGACGGGGCAGCGTCTGCGGTTCCTACCACGCTGTAAGGAGCCTGATGTGCTTCACTTTGCTTCCCGGTCTGCTGCATGGCCCCAAGTGCTTGCAGGTGCCCCGCCCCATCTGGGGGGAAATACCGACCCATCTCCCTTTCCACATCACAAAGGCCGTGGGTGACGGAATTGGGAGCCTTCGGTCATTGTGTCCTCACTCATCAGTTCACCGCAGGTCAAAGCAGGGGACTAACCGTAGTTACATTTCATCTGGATTCTTCCCCTGAAGCTGGTTTGTGATCTAACCAGTGGATGTAAAATAATGGAAGGAGAAGAAAGGGAGCGTGACAGCTCACAAGTTATTGCTGTGTCTGAAGAGTCAAGGCTGATGAGAAATTCAAGTCAGAGCTTGCACACATTTGTGTTTCCCCACCTCTCCTCCAGGGTTTAGGACCGCAGGCTCAGAATGCAGTAAAGCACCCTCGGAGCTATCTAGTAATCACTGGCGTGGAGGGGCACAGGGGGAGAGATGACCCCATGGATGTGAGGAAGTGGCCGTGCTGGGTGCCAGTGACCACTGAAATGGGGTGCTCTCCAGGGTGCATGCAGGTGCCCCAATCCCTGTAAGGGTACACGCAGCCCTTCTCAGGATACAATGGCTTATTGGGAAACACTTTGATTGAAGGCCCTTATAATTTTGATTTTGAGATTAATCAGCTATTGGAGTTGGAGGCGTGGCTCGATTGGTAGAGCACCAGCCAGTGAGTGAAAGCATCAGGTATTGAGTTGGAGTTCCGGTCTTCACCCAAACGAAAAGACATTAATCAGCTATTAGTTGAGTACGCCAGTTTTATGACTTACTTGCTCTTCCTCCAACCATGTTGTGCATTTGTGAATTCTTACGAAGTAGACCACTGTAGCCTACAGTTTCTTTTAAGTGTACCTTTTCTGAGTATTAAATCTACTACTTCGCTGACAGAGCATTAGTTGCGTTGGCGTCTAACTCAGCACTGATCAACTGTGTCAGCTGCTTAATGTAGTGGCCACTGCATCGAACACCTCCCAGTCCTTACACGCTTCCAGGGCTGTTAGTGAGCTCACAGCTCATACCAAGGGGATGGTGGATAAAGTACAACTCAAGAATTGCTTTTATTAGAAAAGGGGGTACCCAATCATTCTTGTAGAGAATGGCCCCCAAGCACTAGGAGGTTTTCAGGGGGCCCGTCATCAGGTTGGGGGTTTATGGGTGCTCTTCAAGCACCACCGCTGGTCTGCACCGTCAGGCCAGGAGCCGGCCCTCGGACATGGTCCTCCGAGCATTCTTTCGTGGCTCTCAGCATCCTGCCGGGATCGTCTGGGGCTGACTGGTGGCTGCAGCGGAGTTGAGGAAACAGAAGGCCAGCTTGTAAATTCCTGAATTGGACCCATGCGCCCTGCCCCACTCCATTTCTAGCCCGAGCCCCGCACTCACCCACACAGGACTCAGCCACTCAGACAGGACGGCGGACGGGGTGAAGCCCCGGTGCAGAGCTCTGGCTGGTGGCAGCAGATGAGCGTTATGAGGGGGAGGGGGAAGAGGGGGTCGCCCTCAAGCTCTTGCCTGTCCCCTCACTCCCCCCCCCCCGTCACCCCAGATGGTCTTGTGAGTGGTGTTCCCCATGAGGGGGCTTCCTGGCTCTCCACCCTACCTGGACACGTGTCCCCTGTATAAGGAGCCATGACATCAGCATCCTGCCCAGAAAGAGACCCGAGGGGAATGAATGCTGAATGAGCCCTGCCCCAAGGGCTGGGACTCAGGGCCTCTGACTCTCAGCCCGTAGGGGCAGCCCTGGCCCCTCTTTGGAGGCCCTGAGGCGGGGTGGGTGCTGTGTGAGGGGCAGGCCCAGTCCTGCTGACACAGGACGCGGTCGCCTCCCAAGGGCCGTCGAAGCTGAGAGCCGGGAAGTTGGTTTCGCAGACACGAGCGCCACAGGCCCCTCTTCCTCCCCGTGGACACCTCAGTGTGCTCATGCCACAGATGGCGGTCCTACGCCCACAAAAGATGGCGGTGGGATTTGAACTCAGAACTTTCTGACTTGTGCTACTCCCCCATTGCCATGTGACTCTAGCCATGAGGCGGCACGTGGGACACACTTCAGAGTCAAGACAGTCTGAGTGCTAGTCCAATCAGAGTCGAGACAGTCTGAGTGCTAGTCCAATCAGAGTCGAGACAGTCTGAGTGCTAGTCCAATCAGAGTCGAGACAGTCTGAGTGCTAGTCCAATCAGAGTCGAGACAGTCTGCGTGCTAGTCCAATCAGAGTCGAGACAGTCTGAGTGCTAGTCCAATCAGAGTCAAGACAGTCTGAGTGCTAGTCCAATCAGAGTCAAGACAGTCTGAGTGCTAGTCCAATCAGAGTCTAGACAGTCTGAATGCTAGTCCAATCAGAGTCGAGACAGTCTGAGTGCTAGTCCAATCAGAGTCGAGACAGTCTGAGTGCTAGTCCAAGTGCTGCTCCAGGGCCCGCACGGGGGGGGGGGGGGGGGGGGGGGGGGGCGGCGGGGGGCGGTTACGTCACAGGGCTCTGGGAGGTCTCTTTGGCAAGCAGACATTTGGGTGTTTATAACAGCATTTACAGCATACAGAATAGGAATACAGGCAGCCAGTGAGAGGTACAGTGATGTGTCTTCTCATGGACCAAATGGCTGCACAGACCTTCTATGGCCCACGGGCCAGGCATTCCCTGCCCCTGCAAGAAGTGTAGGGAGGCGTAGCCTGGGGGACTGACTGGGAACAACAGAGCCATGCGGGGCTACATCTCGGGCCGGGGCAAACTGAGAGGTGGTACTTGAATCACAGGCACCCGCTAAGATCTCTGGTTCCTCATAGTTTGCAACTAGGAGAATGCCCACGCATCTACGGGCACGGTCCGGCACCTGGCATGGTGCCCGGGGCCAGGCTGGAGAGGAGGGGCCTTCAGTGGCAGAGGGGGCTGTGACTCTCAGCAGTGCTCCTGGGTGCTCCAGGGTCTGCCTGGTCCCTGAGACCCTAAATGGTATTTTAGTAACATGAAAATGGGTCTGAGAGTAAACCGAAGACCAGTGCAAACCAGATGAGAGCGTGCCCCCACGTAATTCCGTTTCCACTAGTTCCCTCTCCAAAGCAAGAAAGCTCAGGTGAACAGGTAGACTGAGGAAAGGTAACCTAGTGCTTAAGAGCCTTGCACAGCCGGGCGCTGGTGGCTCACACCTGTAATCCTAGCTACTCAGGAGGCTGAGATCTGAGAATCGCAGTTCAAAGCCAGCCCGGGCAGGAGAGACCATGAGACTCCTATCTCCAATAAACCACCAGAAAACTGGAAGTGGCGCTGTAGCTCAAGTGGTAGAGTGCTCGCCTTTAGCTGAAGAGCTGAGGGACAGCGCCCAGGCCCAGAGTTCAAGCCCCACGACCGACAAAAAAAAAAGCCTTGCACAGCTCTGACGACCCTGTGCCTCATCCTGTTTCCACACGCACAGATTGTAGAGAAGTAAAGTTTTCCTTGCATACATGCAGAGCGCCATGTCTAAACCTTGCGTCTGTACAGAACTGCTGCTGCGCCCCAGCCCGGGCCGCGGCTTGAGGGTTTGGTGGGATCACATGCTTTGTGTCATCCTCTTACCGAGCGGATGATTCTGTTCTCCGGCTGTGGTGGGTGGCCCGCGGGCCGCGTGACAGCGGTGAGCGTGCAGCTTGCTCCTAACCCTCACTCTCTCCTCCTCGCTGCTGTGCGTGTGGCCAACCTCGGGACTAACTCATGTGTGCTTTGCGTGGCCTCCATTTTCTTTGCTTCTTTCTGACCCTGTTCCTTTGTTTCTGTCTACGTGTCCTGTGGCGGCCCCGCGGGCAGCCGTCGGAGTACAGCAGCCACCTCAACTCCAGCTCCCGAGCCTCCTCCAGGGCCAGCTCTGCGCGGGCCAGCCCCGTGGTAAGTCTGCCTCCGGGCCCCACTGCCCCTCCACCCCCTCTGCCGCCTCCTGCCCCCCCCACCTGCCCTTCTCTGCTCTTTGAAAGTGATGTATGTCTTCAAAAGCCAGCCTAGGATGGAGTCTTTCTGTGCTTTATTTCATTTGGGTCCAGGTAAATGAGGTTGGGAAACGCGGTTCGGAACTTAGGAGCTGGCGGGGGCTGTCAGTTTGCGGTGCTGTTTCTCCAGGGCCGTGAAAGGCGTGGCGGTGCTGTCAGGGTCGGCTCCTCGGGGGACCTCCATCGTGGGGGAGCCGGAATGTAGTCGTGTGTGGTTGTGGTGCTTTCTGTACTTAAAAGTCTCGAAGAGTTAACACCCAGTAATGGTTATTGGGCCTGAAAATGCCTGTGGCTCCCCGAGTTCATCCGCTGCCCCTTCGGCTCTCAGACCCTGAGCACTGTGCGGCGGAGCCCGCCAGGCTTCGTCAGGAGGCCAGGGCCCTCAGCCGGATCCTCCTGTGGGTGTCCAGGGTCTCACGATTTTACACAATTCCCCCGCCGCGAGGCTCCTTTTGAGGCCTTCACTATTGTCTAGAAGAGGATTTTGCAGAAGAGTTTTGGGTAGGGATGTGAGAGGGGGTCGTCGGGTACTGGTGATGGGGAGGTGTGGGCTACCCCAGCGAGCAGGCCACGGGCCACACTCCACCCCGCCCCGCCCCAGGGCTGGTGCGCAGAGCCCTGAGTGGAGGTCAAGCCAGGCCCAGCTGATCCCTTTCCCTGCTGCGTTTAACCTCAGCCATGGAGGAGTTGAAATGTGCTTCCACGCTGCGTGTAGTTGGTGCCTGTAACTCAAGCCACGCTCCTGCTCACTGGAGCGCTAGGGAGTTTGGGTCTTGCCCATGGACGAGCCTCGGTGGCTGGTTCTCCTGGATGTGGCGCTGCCGGTTGGTTTCTTGCATTTGATGCGGACCTTGACAGCCGTGAGCTGACGCATCGGGCTTCCCTGGGTGGGACTGAGGGCTCCTGGCAGCTCTGAGCTCCCCGGCTGACTTGGGCCCCGGTAGGCGAACCTCCGGGGAACTTCCAAACCACAGGGGACACGGATTTCTCTGTAATAAATTTAATGTAAACTCCTCCTCACTTCTACATGCTTCTTTCACCCACTCCTCCCTTCTGGGGGGGGGGGGGAATAAGGATTTACAATTTACAAAAGGTGACTGCCTTTAGCTTCCAAGCCCCCCAGTACCTCAGCGCCTCTGCCTGGAAGCCCTGGCTTCAGTTCACACTGATGCCCGGCATTGGTTCACACGTTCGGTGGATCTGCTCAAGATCAGCATAAAGTCACAGCATGGCACAGCCATTTTGGACAGACTAAAATTTGGTGAAAATTCATCTTTCATATGCTTTCTAAGTTTTGGAGAATTTGCTCACATGAAACGGCCCTAAGTAGAAAGAGAGAGACCCACAGTACATTCTGGGGGTTCTTGGATGTCCTGGGGATCCCCAGGGCCAAGGAAAAAAGGAGGTACTGTGTGAGGAGGCTGGTGGGTCAGAGCAGAGCCCAGCGATGCCCAGACCCGCGGCGCGTCCATCCTCTCTGGGTGGGAAGGCATGTGTCCTCTGGGGGGACTGGAAGCGGCGGTGGGGAAGCCTGCGCTCTCCAGCGCTGGTTTTCCAGTTCCATGCAGAGATGATTCGAGCGATTATTTTTCTCTGGGCCAACTGCTCATTGCACAAAGGTCAGCAGACGGCCATGCCGTTTTCTGGCTCACTTGTGAGCAAAGGTCAGAATCTAGCAGTGTGACCAAGGCAGTCAGCACCTCACATGGGGAGGCCTCGTGTTCGTGCGTGCGTGCGCACGTGTGTGTGTGTGTGTGTGTGCATGTGTACGTGCGTGTGTGTGCGTGCGTGCGTGTGTGTGTGTGCATGCATGTGTGCGTGCGTGTGTGTGTGTGTGCGTGTGTACGTGCCTGTGTGCGTGCGTGTGTGTGCGTGCGTGCATGCATGTGTGTGTGTGTGGTTGTTGACCTCTGTCCAGTGTGCGGCTCCCTAGAAGGCACAGCAGTTGCAATCCCCGCTGGCCCCAAGGCTGGAGAGTGAAGGTTCTGGCACACCCTGCTGTCACAAGGGCTGAAGGCAGACGCGCTGTCACCTCCACAACTCTTGCTCCTCTCAGGCCAGATCAGCACAAGTCTGTTTCCTGTCCCCGAGTGTCACACAAGGCAGGGCCGGCCTGTGCTGGGGGCTGGGTAGACAGACGGCATCCACGGGTGTTCGGCCTTTGTGGTGGGAAGAAGTCCAGAAGGCTGAGCCTAGATCTCCCGGCCTCCTGCGTGAGAGGGAGGTGCCGTAGGTCAGGGGCAGGGCCCTGGGGGGACAAGGCCAGGACCAGTGACCCTCCAACCTGGCCTTCCAGGAAGGGGCACAGAGCAGGAAGTAGGCTGAGGCAGGGAGTTCCAGGCCGATTCAGGGGCCACGGCTCTCTGCCTGGCTTTGGACATCCAGCCAGGTGTGTTACCTTCCTGAGCTGCATGTGGACAGCACAGTAGTTAGTGGCAACTTTAGAAGCAGCTTCCCTCCCTACATAGAAAAAGCTCAGTTAACTTGTGTCTGCTGGGCTGGAGTTGTCCTGGCCATAACATGATGGAGTTACTCATCTTCCGAGACTGGTGGAAATGATCTCAGAGGTCTGTGGCCAGGGACAAAGGGTAGGGCTCCCCAGGGAGGAAACACAAAGTGAGCTGGTGCCATGCCCAGCCAGCTTGTCTCACATCCTCAGACAGGGAAGCGAGGCTGGTGCCCGGGGCAGGGGAGAGGCGGCCTGGGAGCTTGCCCCACGCAGCAGGGTTACCGCCCTTGGGAAGGCAGAGAGCTGTCAGAACCAGCTCACTCTCCCCCTTCCCACCCCGGGATGAGCCGCCTTCTTCCCTCCCCCAGCCCAGGATCTCCCTGAGGGAATCTCACAGCATTTATGGAGCAGGTAGAATCACCAGGGGACAGCGTGACCAGCACGGACCCACCCCTGCCTTCCCGGCATACGCAGACCAGGGCGGGCCATGCCGTGGCCTAGATAGCATGAGCCCTTAGCAGGGCAGACTCGGAGGGTGGACGGAACGGAGTCTACCAACGGGGCCCTAGCCACACCCAAGCAGAGAGCAGCTGGCGGGAAGCCAGCCCGCTGTATCACCCAGGCCTCACCATCCCCCAGGAGTTCCGCGCAGCCACCACATTGCTGAGACATCCTTCGGGAATGTTCTGAGTGGAGCCGGGGCCTGTCGATCTCCTCTCCTGTTCCAGGAGAGCGTGGATGGTGAGTCAGGCTCACTGCCCACTGGAACGAGAGGACAAAGCCCCCTGCACCTCAGGAGAGAGGCGGGCAGCCGCCAGGTAGAGAGCAGGCCTGGACCCAGTACAGCAGTTCCAGGATGAGTCACTCAAGAAGATACAGATGTTACTGGAATTAGAGCACCAAACCCTAGCCCTAAATGTAGGCTGTACAGTTATTTAAATAAGGGAAACTACCCGTAACGTGAGTGTGGCCCAAGCATTGCTTGTTGTCCACTTCGTGTTTTAGGCGAGACATTGCCATGGCATTGATATGGGAGTTTTGTTTCCCCCCTGGGGCTGGCTAGGTGCTGGCTGGGAGTTGGGGAGCCAGACTCCCCACAAGAGAGCTGTGTACATGGACAGGCACCCCCACATTGAACCAGAAAAGGGTGACATGGAAAACTTAATACATGAAAACTCAACATGTGTCCATGAGGCTTTGTGGTAAACCCATCGCCATATAAAGTATCATTGCTACATTAACATGTTTGGAAAAGAAAGCACACGCAGAAGCTAAATTTCCACTGATCTGTTTTGGAAGTGACATTTGCAATAGATTTTAAAAAACAGTTTTGCATATATTCAGTGGTGGTTAGGAAAGACCAGTTGAAGTCATTTCTTTCTTCCTTTTTTTTTTGGTCAGTCATGGGGCTGGAACTCTGGGCCTGGGCGCTGTCCCTGCGCTCTTCAGCTCAAGGCTAACGCTGTACCACTTGAGCCACAGTGTCACTTCTGGTTTTCTGGTGGTTTATGGGACATGTGAGTCTCATGGACTTTCCTGCCCAGGCTGGCTTTGAACCGGGATCCTCAGATCTCAGCCTTCTGAGTAGCTAGGATTACAGGCATGAGCCACTGGCGCCTGGCTAGTAAAGGTCATTTCTAAACGCATCAGTGTGAAGTTTTCACACCTGACTCAAAATGCTGAGTAGCAATCAGAAAATGGAGGTGATAAAGCCACGTACTCTTGCCCTTTCCACAATGGGAGGCCCATGTCCCAGACTCCAGTGGCTCATGGTCTGCCGTGCGGTGGGGAGGCCCTTGGAGCCGTCCGGCCAGCAGCAGCCCCAGTCCTGCTCCGCCTGCTCTGTCCTGCTGGCTTTGTCTCCACACAGACCCACCAGCTCATGCAGCAGCTGTGTGTCAGAATCCTGTCATCCCTCCATTTCTTGGTGTGTTATTTTTAGGGGTTGATGTGTTTTATGTCAGAATTAAGCACACCATCTGGCTCACTTATCTGCCTTTTGTGTGGAGACTTAGGATTGGCGCACACACGCTGACCCCAGGCAGCCTGACAGTGCTGCCATCTAGTGGGAGCCAGTGGCATGGTGGCTCCACGGGTGTGTCCCTCCCACTGCCCCACAAACTTAAGTCCGAGGATCGCTGACAACTATGTGTCCCTTTGAATTTGGAAAACAAACAAAATGGAATTCACTGTATTATTTTAAAGAGACGTTTGCTATGTCTTTAAGAGCTTAATTTTTAATTTTTCTCTGTATAACCTCCACTTAAAAACATACCCCAAGCAGGGAACTGGTGGCTCATGCCTATAATTCTACTAACTGCTCAGGAGACTGATATCTAGAAGATCAAGATCCCAAGACAGCCCAGGACTATATCCAAAATAACCAGCAAAAAGCCCGGCTGGAGTCATGGTTTAAGTGGTGGAATGTAGCTGAGCAAAAATGAGCCCCTGAGTTCAATTCCCAGAGGAAGGGGTAGAGAGGGAGGAGGAGGAGGAGTGTGTGCATGAGGAGTAGTTATACTACTCCCCTTGGTTTTATCTCACAAATTCAGTCTGAGAAATTAGGCCTTGGGCCCGGGAGATTTAGTGAGTTGCTTTCTCAGCCGCGAGGTGCAAGACGCCGTGCTTTTCCTTTATTCCCTGATTTGGGGTTGGGTGGGGTTCTGTTTTGCTTTTTTAATTGCCTTTTTTTTTCCGACTTTGGCTTGTGGCTGGGGTTTTTGACACAGGCTCTCTGTGTGACAGTCCAGGCTGGCCACACGTACGATCCTCTCACCTCTGCCTTCCAAGTGCTGGGATTACAAGCAGACCCTACCACTCCAGCTCTGTTTCCTGACATTTTCATTTGAATGTTTCAGAAATACTTTGATTCTCAGGTAGAAGGGCCATGGCTGAAATGCTAAAATGTCCCCATAGCACAGATTGCCCAGCGGAGCTTTCCTGCACTGCTGGGGTGGTGAGGCCTCCCTGCCTTGTCGGTTGTCTGCCTCCGCACCCCAAACTGTGTAGTCAAGCCAGTGTGCGGCACACACATCTGAGAAACACATCCTCTGTGCTCCACTGTGTGCAACTGCGGTGGCCACTTCTGGTCTCTTGTCCGTGAAGGGAAGGTTGGAAGTTCAAGGATTCTGGAGGCAGGAAGAGAGCGGTTGGTGCGCCTTCTTGGAGAGGGACCAGAAGATACAACCTGGGTTTCTGGCCCAGTGAGAGCTCAGTGTGTTTGTCTGGAGATGGCCAGCTTGTACTGGCCTCTCCACAGCTACCTCATTGGTGGGTCCCAGCCCTGGATGTCTGGTGGAGCCTGATTGGTCCAGTTTTCTGGAACTTCAGCATGCATGTCTTCAGCATCCCAGACCACTAGGATCTATCTGCTCAGCCCAAGCTGTGACCTGCCTTTGCCAGCCAAGGTTTGGCTCTCTGTTGATTGGGATCAACATTGTCTGGGCTGCAGGAAGTAGCTCTGGAGACGGACGGGGAAGAGTAGGGGGTTGATAGCTCTCGCAGTGTTTGGAGACAGACTCGGCTTTCTGCAAGAGACACCTGCAGTGTGCAGAAACTTGGTCTCTTGCTGGATGCTGAGCTGTGGAAGAAGTAGCTCCCAAGCCAGCTCAGCCCAGGTTCCTGGGCCCCCTTGCAGCCAGGCAGTCCTCCCGCTCGGGCCCAACACCAGTGTGCCCCTTCTCGTAGCTCTGTAGGCTGCTCTGGGTCCCACTGAGGCTCTGCTGTCCATACAGGACAGACGGGAAAGGCCCAATTCTGAAAAGTTTCACCTTTTAGTTTTTAAGTGATGGAGGAAACTCAGATTTTGTATTTGTTTCATGTTACTCCCTAAGCAGGTATTACCCATTTAACATTTTAAAGTATTTCATATTTATCCATTTCCTCTACAGGTTGAAGAGAGGCCAGAGAAAGATTTTACTGAGAAGGTAAGGAATTTCTGTAAAGCCTCTGTCTTGGGGGTCATTCGTTAATTAGAGTCCTGAAACTCACAGGTGAGACTCATAGGAGAACAGGTCACTTGGCGTTTAGTAAAGGTGTTCACCCTCTCGTGAGGCTCGGTAGGTGGCCTGCCCAGCGTGCTGTCTTCTGAGCCACTTAGAGTGTCCTGGCTGAATCGTGCAGACAGCAAAAGCCCAGCACAGCGACAGCCCTACCGGGTCCTGGGCGTCTGAAAATGAACCCATCTTTACTGCATACCAGAAACCCGTGGCAGACTAGCCAGTGTAGCCGCTGGATTAACAAAGCCGCGGTGGGCTGGGGATGTAGCTCAAGTGGTAGAGCGCCCCTCGCAGGACAGGCTGCTGCTCCGTAGGCTGATGAGTCACGTTGGGTTTGTCTGCGGTCACATGTCCTCCACACTGCAGGGGTCTCGCAGCATGCCCGGCTTGTCTGCCGCCACACTGGCCTCTCTGGGCGGGACTTCCTCCCGGAGGGGAAGCGGAGACACCTCCATCTCCATGGACACCGAGGCTTCTATTAGGGAAATTAAGGTAAGATGCTCATCTGTCAAGCTTGGCCCCTGCCCTCCCTACAGCTCAGAGTTCTCGTGACCAGGACACAGGGCAGGTCATGCCCACCGTGGAGCAGGCCTTGCTGCCCCCTCTGCCCTTCTGTGCTTGGGCCAGCACTGTCCCCACTGTTGAGCTGACTGCGCACCCCCGTGAGCCCTTGCGCATACTTTCTGGGGCTTTAGGCAGCCGATGCATGCCAGGCCCTGGCACAGGGCCCTGCCCTGGGATGCCTTCTCTGTTGCCTGGAATGTGTCTTTCCCTTTTGTAGACCCTACCCCCGTGGCTTAACGGCTTGTTCTTCCACTGTGAGTGCAGGCGTCATTCTCCATTATACCCTTGTCACCAAGGATGGGGCCAGGCGCCTGGTGATATTCTCTGTGTGAGAGAGAAACCCAGCACAGTACTTTGTGTTCAGGACACTGGGGCAGGTGCACCTGACCAGGGAAAGCTTGGGCACCAGAGGGCAGAGCCGGGCCGGGTCGTGTTGGAGTCTGCTGTGACTGCTTCTGTGGGTGGCCCTTTGCTCCTTACAGCTGGGGGCGCAAGGCATCTGGCCCACTGGTGCTATCTGAACACCCCGAGACCGAGAGACACTGAAGCGCACCCCACAGGGGCTCCTGTGAGGAAGCAGGGCCCAGCGTTATGCACATGCCAAAGCAGAAAGAGGCTTTTAGCCACTTTCCCTGGAACTGCAGCTGCAAGCCCACAGTACCTCGGGGGAGTCTGCTCGGCACACAGGTGCAATGGGCTGCCATCCTACTGGGTTGAAGCTGTAGGCATTTGTCCAGCAAGTACCAGACACTGCACCCAGGCACTAGGAAGTTGGTGGTGAGGAAGACAGGCAGGGGGAAGACTTGGAGGCCCAGGGGCAGGGGCAGCATGTGCTGATCTCCAACGCCACCATCACAGCATGGATCTCAGAGTCTTTAACAAACTGTGAAATACCCACTCGCAACAGAAAACCCTTAGCATAGCAGCATGTGCCTGTTATCCCAAGTGTGCAAGAAGTGTAAATAGGAGGATCACGGTCCAGGCTGGGTAAGGCAAAAAGCAAGACCGTGCAAAAGGGCTAGGGGCAAGGCTAATGAAGCTGTAGGGTACCTGCTTGACAACTACTGAGTGAAAACCTAGTACTGCAGAGAGGGAAGGGGGTGGGGGGGAGATTCAGCACACACTGGGCATGGTAGTGCAGACCTGTAATCCCAGCACTTGGGATGCTAGGGCAGGAGGATGGTAAGTTTGGGGCTAGGCTGAGCTGTACATCGAGTCTGAAGTCAGCTTGGGCTACATAGCAAGGACCTGTTTCAGAAAACTGTGTGTGTGTATATGTGTGCGTGCATACATGTGTGTCACTCCTGGGGCTTGAACTCAAGGGCTACACATTGTCCCTGAGCTTTTTTGCTCAACGCTAGTGCTCTCCCACTTGAGCCGGAGCTCCACTTCTGCGTGTGTGTGTGTGTGTGTGTGTGTGTGTAATTAGAGATAGTCTTCATAGACTTTCCTGCCCAAACGGGCTTCAAACCTCAATCCTCAGATCTCAAAGCTAGGATTACAGGAATGAGCCACCAGTGCCTGGCACAAAAACCAATTTTTTTGAAGGCTGCCCAGAAGAAAGGACCTAGATGTATAAAAGCTTCAGGTGTGTGTGATCTCTGTCCATTCTTTTCCTCGACATCATTTACCTTTTGTGCCATTTCTCCCAGGAACTCAATGAGTTGAAGGACCAGATTCAGGATGTAGAAGGCAAATACATGCAGGGACTGAAAGAGATGAAGGTACCATTTACAAGCGTGTGGGCCACAGTACTAACGCACCTTCACTGCGGCCGACCCGCACGGCCTGGGCGTGTGCTCACCCTGAAGAGGCCCTGCGTGCAGAGCCGGGGCCGGAGGAGGCAGCATGGCGTGCATTCCTCTCCTGTGCAGCTTCTGAACCGATGCCGAGAGTTGGGACCCTCGTAGGAGAGGTCACCACCACATTTAGTGTTCCGTGCTTACTGCCCAGATTTGGTTCTCTTCCCTTTCTGTAGTGGCCACATACAGAAATGTGAGGTCTGATTTGCTTCACGGTTCTTCCATGTCCTAACACGCATGCTCTCGCACTATGGAGATCGCTTGCATGCTGTGAGGTGTTGCTGATCAAAGCAAGGTCTGAATGTATGTCACCCTGGAGTGTCTACATGCACCGCTCCTTTCGGGATGTGCGGGTTCCAGTGGGAAGTATAGCAGCCCCCTTGGTGGGTAGTAAGGTGAGCAGCTGCCCCGAGGAAGCCGCTGCCAAGGAACAGGGCCAGGAGGTCCTTCCGGCAGCACTGACAGGGCTGACTCAGTCAGCAGGTGGTGGATTGTTACCCTGCCTTCTCATCTCCCCAGAAAATACCCAGCCAGTCGTCTGACCTCAGGGTTGACAGATCAAACAGACGCCAAACAGATCACCTGACTAACTCATCCTGTTCATAATTATAGGCTCTACTTAAAAGAGGAAAAAAGCCGGGCACTTGTGACTCACACCTGTCACCCTAGCTACTCAGGAGGCTGAGATCTGAGGATGACGGTTCAAAGCCAGTCTGGACAGGAAAGTCCATGAGACTGTGAGCTGTGGCTCAAGTGGTAGAGCGCTAGCTTTAAGCTGAAGAGCTGAGGGACAGCACCCAGACCCAGAGTTTAAGCTCCACAACCAGCCAAAAAAAAATTTTTAAGGGAGGTGAGGGGGGAGTTTAAGACTAGCTCCCAGCTGGTATAAATGGGGAGCCAGCGAGCCATTCGGTACACACGTGCAGGCCGAGGCCGGGTCCGCCCTGGGCAGCCTCCCCACAGGACCCTAAGTTGCTCACGCCTCTCATTGGCTTCAGGTCGTTGGCCCCGGTCGCCATCTCCGCCCACTCTGTTCCCTTGGCCCTGGCCTCCCTGTGTGCATGGTTTGGGACCTGCCAGAGCCCCGGGAGGCACGGCAGGCGCATCCCGCCGAGCCCTCTCGGAGGCTCCCGTGACCCTGCCCTCCCCACGGTCTTCTTGTGGACACCTGTGGGCCTCCGTTTCCTGATGGGTCAGAACTCTGACGTCACCACTGATCCTTCCCGAGTGCCGTAGTCAGAACAGGGGCCACAGGCGCCCATGGTGGCGCTGAGTGAACTGCCAGGGCCCGGCGTCGTCCCAGGCTCTGCCACACGTCTTGTGTGATTACCGCAGCAACCGTTCAGGCGGCCGTCCCTGTGGAGGAAGACTGTCCCTGAACAGTGGCCTCAGCCACCGCTGCCGTCCTGACCAACCCTTGACATAGGAGGGGGTGGCTGGCCTTCACCCCAAGACATTTGGGAACTACTTGAGCGATGGGAAACTGTGCACTGAACATAGCCCGTGCTTCTCACTGGCTCATCTGCTCTAAGAAATAAAGTCTCTGCCTAGAGTGGAGGTTTTAGGAGAGCACCAAGCTTTCCCACTGCACCTTCACAACTCTGGCCCGGTTTGTGCAGGACTCACTAGCAGAAGTTGAGGAGAAGTATAAGAAGGCCATGGTGTCCAATGCCCAGTTGGACAATGAGAAGACGAACTTCATGTACCAGGTGGACACCCTGAAAGACACACTGCTCGCGCTGGAGGAGCAGCTGGCCGAGTCCCAGCGGCTCTACGAGGAGAAAAGCAAGGTGAGCGTCTGGGGGTGGGGAATGGTGGGGATTCTTGTGTGTGGGAGGTGTGTGTGCGTGTGTGTGTGTGTGTGTGTGTGTGTGTGTGTGTGTGCGTGCGTGCGCGTGTGTGTGTGTGCGTGCGCGCGCGCGTGTACGTGCATGTACATCGTGCTCATGCATATTTTAAACTGTCACCCTCCCTCTGTCCAGGACACTCTAGTTCTGACGTAAGACTCCCAGGCTCTCGGCTAAGTCCTGAAATGTCAGCGTGCACAGGTTCAACAGCAAACTAAAGGACGTTTACCAATGTTAGTGTTAAGACACAGGCCTGTGAAGGCACTAGGGGCCTTGATAAGGAACAGTCAGATGCTTCGAGAACTTCCTGCTAACGAGCGATTTTCATTTTCTCTCAACACCATGGACAGACAGGGTTTTAAGAAAATTGTATTCAGTTAACTTTCTGCTGATAGGGAAAAGGCACAGTTCCTTCATTTAAGAATACCTTTAAGCTCAGAGAAAGACACCGCCCTGTATGAGTTTTCAGGAAGAAGCACTGGAATTAATTTGTTGCTAGTTTACAACCAGCCTGAGCCTAGGTTGAAGCTGCTGACACGGCTGGGTTGGCAAAGCTGGGTTTAGCTGCCATGTACAAGCCCGGCATACTTACATTTCATTGTTAGGAATTTGTTGGTTTTTCAAACCCTAGAACATTGTCCGGTTCCTCAGAGATCCTGAGCTAAGCAGGGGATGTAACGTGTGGGTCACTTTTAATGGCTGCATCCTCAAAATCTCAAGGGAAAACCAAGGTCCCACTGATAACACGGGCCTCCTCCTCCGCTGCGGAATTGAGTTACAGCTAACGGGAGACTCCCTCGGTTCTCACAGCTGAGCTCTGAGAGCACTTGGGAGGGAAGGAGGGAGGGAGGGAGGGAGGGAGGGGTGACCCTGAGAGTGCACCAGGCCCCATCCTGGTAGCAAGGTACCACAGTGCGGTGTGTTCCAGCTCTTCTAGAACACCACCCTCTGGGCCTGGTTCTGTGGCCAGGCCAGGAGCTCCAAGTTTCATTGTAGGGAAGCCAGGGGGGACCTCGGGGTGCTCCCAAGCCTGACAGGATGGGCCTTGTCACAGCTAGGAGGAGGAAGCGGGGAGCAGAGCCGGGGTCTTGTCCCTTCTCAGAAGGCCCCTCCAGGGAAGGGGCTCTACCGTAGTGGGTGCCACGCCCTCCTGAGGCCAGTGCTCCCACAGAACAGAACAAAAATGCCCCGGGACGAGGGTGAGCCCTGCAGAGGTGCGGCGGACCCAGGGGCAGCTCCGCCACAGGCTCCATGCCTGCTACTTGGTCCTGGAGTGCAGCCCTTGAGCAGAGCCGCCACACGCTGCCACCTCACACAGTCCCACCCACCCCGGCACTGCCCTGAACAGGGGCCCTGCCTGGGAGTGGCCAGGAAGCCCCCACCAGTCCCGTCCACTGCTCAAGGTTAATTTTACAGGAAGTCTTCGTAGCATCTTCGAAAGCCCGAAAAATGGATTTGGGGTGTTGCTTGCTTTAGAACTAGTGATGACACCCTAACAAGTCATTTGTCCTGAGCGGAATGCGGCGGTGAGCGCGCGGAGCAGAATGGCAGGGCCGCCCCTCCCAGCGTGCTCTCTGTCCCCCGCAGGAGCTCGAGCGGGAGAAGCACGCGCACAGCGTCCTGCAGTTCCAGTTCGCCGAGGTGAAGGAGGCGCTGAAGCAGAGGGAAGAAATGCTTGAGGTAGGCCGCTTTTCCTTGCTGTGCCTTTGGACATGGCTGCCTCCTGTTACTGAGTAGGCTCCCGGGGCAGAGTACTACGGACCGGGTAGCTCTAACAACCAGCCATTCCTTTCCTCAGTTCTGGACAGCAGGCTCTCAGATGAAGGCCCTGCCAAGGTGTAGGGGCAGGGTGGGGGAGGGGGACATTCCTCCTGTCTGATCAAAGCCCCGCCTGTGACCTCATTTCCTCATTTAAACCGTAATTGCTTCCCAATGACCTTGTCTTGAAATGCAGTCATCTTGGAGGTCAGGACTTCACTGTTTGAATTTGGGGAAACACAACTCAGTAATTTGACAGATGCTAAAAAATTTTAATTTTAAGAAAATTCAATTTTAAGAAAAAAGTAATAACTTTTTAAATGTAGGTTCAGATCACCTTGGATGCCTTACTTCGGGAAAGCGTTCCTCTCCTGGGAGAGGAGTAATCCAGTAACAGCTCCTCCCCCGAGGTGTCCACCTCCTAGTTCCTAGAAATCATAAGACTGCCATTTTTTAAATTTTTTTATTATCATTAAATAGTTGCGCTTTTAGTATCGTTGTCCTCAGTTGTGAATGCAGCTAGGCTAGCACGGCAGGGAGATTGTGGGGCATTGATTTCAGAGGCAGAGCGCGGCCCTCGACAGTGCCCGACGGCATCACAGGACCGTCACGAGGAGTCCTCGTGAGGTCAAAAACACGGCAACAGATTCTTCTCTGGGGCCCCAGAAAGGAACTCAGGCCTCTGTACACTTCTGATCTCCAGAACTGTTAAGAGAATAAATCATGGAACTGTGCATTTCTAGAGCACTGATGAATTCAGGCTTGAAGAAAGAAAACCTTGCTGGAGTTCTTCAGTCATCTGGCACTGGGCTTTTTCTTCCTGCTTAACTCTTGATCTGCTCTCTTCCTATCTGTTCCTTTCCTCAGGAAATCCGACAGCTACAGCAGAAACAGGCGAGTTATATCAGGGAGATTTCTGATCTTCAGGAAACCATAGAGTGGAAAGACAAAAAGATAGGGGTAGGAGTCTCGAGTCTTTGCCAATCTGTGTCAACGGGCTGCCGCGTAGCGGAGGCCGTCCCTGTGTGCAGAAGCAATGGCTGGTGTGGGTGTGCATGCCGCGGGCAGCAGCATAGTTTGAAGGAATCACACAACATTTCCAGAGGTGGACTCTCTCTCCCAGGCAGCCCTGTGTGAGCCCTGGGAGCACAGGGCACCCCAGCAGTGAGGACAGTGGGCATGCTGCGCTGCGGGTGGAGGGTCAGACCCCAGAATTCCCTGTTCTGGAGTTGGCTGGAGTTCTGTTTTTCTCGGGAGGGTTTGCAGAAGCTGAGGTGTGGTGGCAGAGGCCGGGTCCCACACCCTCACCTGGAAGTCTCTCCAGGGAAGGCCTCCACTGACCCTTTCCTTCCACCCATGGTGGCAGTGACCATTAGAAGAGAGGAATGCTAGCAAGTCACTGCTGATCCACAGTGACAAATCGTTTCCAGAAACCAGCAGCCCCTTGTGGCAGAGCCTTGACACAGGACCAGAGGGTATACAGCCACATCATGGACAGGCTTGCGATGTGAAACCTGTCGTGGTTCTACTTTGACATCTCCCCCATGTTGGGGGTTGGGGGGGGGCGGGTAACGGATGGAGGGAGAAGGACAGGAAGGGAGAAGAGAGAGGAGAGCAAGGGAGCTCACCGATGCACTCTTATAGACCACTATCGGGGACAACAACTTCTGGATCCATTTGTGTATAAAAGCAGCGAGACTATAGAATGCGGGTGGTTCAGCAATTCTTCTGACTCTATCCCTCGTTTAAGCAGCTGCATCACTTCTGTTAACTCCTGTCTCCTTCAAACTAAGCTAGAAAACGATGCCATACTGCAGCCTCCTTCCACGCTGCTTGGCTTTGTGTATCTCACAACCATGCACACACACACAGGTGTGTGATCATTTGCATTTCCTGGGTGTCTAGACTGAGTGAAGCATGAATGCTCCCTGCCTGCCTTTCGATTGTATCCTTAAAGAAGATGCTTTCTTGTGCCTGAAGTCCATTGGTGCTCTGCACGCTGGAGCCTCCTTGTTCTGTGCCTTAGTAACCTGCTGGTCTGTGCCTTCTCCCTTCTCTCGGCTCTGCGCACACTCAGGCATTAGAGAGGCAGAAAGAGTTCTTTGATTCCGTAAGGAGTGAACGAGATGATCTTAGAGAAGAAATAGCCAAGCTGAAAGAGGAGCTAAAGGTAGGACGCCGCTGCTGCGTTTCTGGGGTTCTGTGGCTTGTGGGTCCTGGAGATCATTTCATGTCTTTGATGTGTTCTGCCAATAAATTCAAATCTGGGGGTCACCGGCAGGGTCTGCGTATGTTGACGCGAGTACAGATGTGGGCGTTAGGCCCAGGCCGATTGGAGGCCAACGAGCAGCTGATCTTGAAAGCAGCTCCGAATTCCATCTCTGATTTTTCCCACATTTATTTAAAGGATTTTTTTCCCCACAAGTGTTGGTTAGCACTCTAGGGTGTTATTCAGTTAGAGAATGTGTTTGTTTTCTTGTTCCAAAGCCTCTGGTCCAGGGACTTCTCCAACCGAACATTGTCTGTGTAATTAGACCTAGACATGTGCTAGCCCTTAGGAGAGGGAGTTCCACGTCCTGTGGGGCCATGTGAGGAGTCTTTGGTGACCATGACAGCCCAGCAGGGGGCTCTGGGGAGCTGCCAAGGCCCTGCAGGCAGGGATGATACTGAGAGGGAGGGTGCTGGCCCCAGCAGTGTCTGGAGAGAGCTGTGTGTAGAGAGAGCAGTGTCTCGGGGGATGGTCCAGCCTGCTCCTCAACTGCTGGGTCGAAGCCAGAGCAGTCGAGCAGGACTCAGTAAACCAGCGCCAAGAAATGAATGACACGTTTGCTGGCACTAGACTGTCGTCCAACTCAGAATCCGGTTGCCTCCACCTCCCAATGCGGAGATTACAGGTGTGTGCTGCCACGCTTCGCCACAGCCGCTTGTTCTTTAAACTCAAGCCAGGGCGTAAGTTGTTTCACTTTTTTTTTTTCAGATAGGGTCCCAAGTTTATGCACAGGCCGGCCAGGACAGTGAGCTTCCTGTGGATGCTTCCTGTGAATGACCCTGCCACCAGCCTAGCTTTTTTTTTTTTTTTCAATTGGTTGAGATGGGCTCTCATGACCTTTTTACCCAGGTTGACCTTGAACAGCAGTTCTAGATCTAATCTAGAGTAGCTAGGATTACAGGCATGAGCTACTGCACCTGGCCTTGGCTAGAGCTTTACAATGACAGGTTCCTTCACATTGGTTCACTCGGTTTTCCACTTGGTAGCTGCTTACAGGCATCACCCATAGTTCAAAGGGTGCTGTTAGGAGGATCTTGTTCCCAGCAAACTCAATCATGGAACACATAAGAAAGCAGTTTTGGGAGGTTGCCTAGATATCATGAGATTGATGCCAGGCACTTTTCTGTTCTGACATGGCCACCCTCTACAGGAGATGTATCTTCCTCTTCTATAATTACTAATGAAATACAGTTTAGCCTGCTATCTCTTGAGTGTTACAGTGAGTGTGTTTTGTTCCCAGAAACATGGAATAATCCTAAATTCAGAAATAGCTACCAACGGAGAGACTTCAGACACACTCAATAATGTTGGATACCAAGGCCCTACCAAGGTGACAAAGGAGGAGTTCAGTACCCCCCAGTCAGCTGGCGACGGGGCGCTGGGTAAGCATTGTTTTCCTTTGGATCCTTCAGCCTCCCAATCGGCACTGGGTCACCTTCCGTGCATTATTACGACCAAAGCCATCACCACTGATCAATTAACAGTCACACCGCATGCCCTTTGTTCTGTCACTCCATGGTCATGTCCTTGCCGATGATGAGATTGCCCACACGTGCTGTCCGGCATGCATCTCTGTTCAGTGCTTACCACCAACGGCTCATGTACACATTTCTTTTGCTTCTCAAAGTTACCAAGTAAGACTGTGAATGAAAGAAAATAGTGCCGAAATCATGTGACAATGTTAAGAGAACTGTTTGGTCCTCAGATATGTCCTGTGAATGGCTTCACAGACTTGTCACTAGATCAGGGTGTAGAGCAAGCGGGGGAGCGGCATAGCTAATCATATCAGCCCATCCTTCCTGCATGCCCTGTGTCTTGCAGAGGTTTGCGTGCACAAGGCTCCTGTGCATAGCACAGGGATGCTTGGAGGGAGTGGAGGATGTCATGGTTGAAAGCTGCCCCCAGGTGGACAGGCAGCCTTGGCAGGGGGTGTGGCCAGAGCTGTAAGAGGTAGAACTCACCCACCTGGGGGTCACCAGTGATCTCTGTTGCCATCTTTTTGCTTCTGCAAGAATATAAAGCGGGGGAATCCAGTAGCTCATAGGAGTATTTTCAGTCACCTGAAAATATTCACCAGTTAACATCTGTCATGGTATTTGGCTTTGAGATCTGGCCCATCTGGCCCTGGAAGCTGATGGCCTCATAAGGTGGGAACAGAGCCAACGTCTAAGGCTCAACTGCAGCTCAGACACCTTCATCTTATCTCTTAGCATGTATGTGTAGACACCATCTCTCAGGATCTGTGGAGACTCTAAAGAAATACAGCTCTTGTAAACTATGTGGAGGGTTTTTGTTAAAAAAGAAAAAAAGAATTTCTATAACACCTTTATAAGAGGTGCCTGAGTAACTTAAGAATTCGATCATACTGCTCCTGTCTAAATACACATTGTACAGATCTTTGGTAAGCTTTATGAGATGTTTAAAGAGCCAGAAAGATCAATTTACATGTGTAAGTTGTCTCCAAAAGTTTTCTGAGGGCACAGCCCATCTGTAAAGAAACTACTGGGGCTTCCTAGTATGTGCGCATTTTAAATTTATGCATGCAGCCTACTTCATTAATATGAGATGAACAGCATTAAATAATAGTACATTATCAAACAATAGTCAAAATTACTAGAAATACTGATATTTCTCCCATTTTCTTGGGGTCAGACCCCTAGATGGTAAGAGGGCCAGGCATTCGTGTCCAGCAGCGTGGTGTCTAACAGACTGGAGTTTTGTAGCTTTGCTTTTGAGAACCCCAAACAGGAAAACAGAACTGCCTATTTCTAGAGCTAGGGGCAGCATGGCTCCAGTGGTAAGGTCCTTGTCCAGGAAGTACAAGGTCCTAAGTTCAAACCCTAGTACCACCAAGAAAGAGAGAGGGAGGGAGAGACGGTTGTCCTTCTGAAGCAGTGATGGCTGGCTATGGAATTATGTGGTTGCCTTGACTTCCAATGTTCACTGGCGGCTGCAGGGAGCGTCTCCCTGCCTGAGTGTTGGTGGACAGAGCAGGGGTGCTCAGGGCAGACACAGGGTGCTTTGTCGGGACGACAGTGCCTGGGTGGGGGACCCTAGATTTCTTTCTGCCATGCAGGAGCTACTTCAAAAGCCTGTTCCTTCAAAAGCTGAGTTCTGAACGCCAGATGAATAGCCTTTTACAGATTTGAAGCCACTGTGAGGGCCGTGTGGGTGCAGTGCAGTCTGACGGTGCTTACGGTTGGTGTGGACTGCGGTCTGTGCTCAAGCCCAGCATTTGGGGCCGCGTGTCTGCCTGATCAGAGCTCTTCCTATTAGTTCACCTTTGGAAAGCAGCTCCTACAGGTGTACAGCGGCCACCCTCGCGGGGGCCTGTGGCTGTGGCCTTCACTGGTCAGAAATGCACTAATGCCATCGCTGCTTTGCCGCACAGAACTGGCAACGGCTTCTCTTCCATGTGATTCTCTGGTGATGCTCTGTTAGCACCTGGCAGGGCGGGCATTAGAACGGGTTGGCGTTTTACTCTGTATTAACTGGTCACCGCATCTTGGGGTCCCTTCAATTCTCTCAATGGTCTTTTAGGAAGAGCCAATGGAGTGGAGGTGAAAAAAGAAATTGTGGAGACTGTGGGGAAAAGAGAAACCTCGCAGCACGCTGAGCAAGAGCAGCACGAGGAGAGCACGGGAGAGGCGTGTGTGGACAGAGAGGGCTGGCTCCCCGGCGAAGGTGCTGAGCGCCGGGGGTCCTCTGAACACAGTGCCTCGGGACCGTTAGCAAGTGCCGGCTGGGAGGGGCAGGTGCGAGGCCAGAGTCTAGGGAACACTTGTGAAAGTCCAGAGCAGGTAGGGTCAGGCGGGGTGGCAGACCTGCCGGACGGCGGGGCCGGAGCTCCCCCTGAGCAGTCTGGCCCTCCGCGCCAGGTAGACGGAGAGCCGTCCGGCCCGGGGCCTGTGCCGCACAGTGAGGACGCTTCGGCTACCCAGAACCACAGCGAGAACGCCGAAGCGAGTCGGGAAGGAGCAAAGCCGGAGGATGTGAAGACGGACGTGGAACCGTCCCACCAGGAGTCCGTCCCCGGGAGGATGCCGGAGACTGAAAAGATGGGCAGTCCAGTCTCTGGGGACCCGGAGGGGAACCACGTGGGGAGCGAGGTAGTGGCAAAGGGAGCTGAAGCTGGGGAGCACGCGGGAACAGCGGCCTCAGGTCCTCCCGCACACGGCAGGGACGCCGTGAGTCCTGAGGGGACGCGCATGGCCGAGGAGTGGGACACAGGCCGGGGGCGCAGCTTAGAGAGAGAGCTCCCCAGCCAGGAAGGAGCCGAGCTCCAGGGGACCCCCATGCAGAGCCCAGAGGCAGCGGGGGAGAGCACTGCAGAAGAGGAGGGGGGCGTGGAGCCCGTCCAGACAGACGGACAGACCCCCAGAGCGCAGGCAGCCGCCCGCAGCCCCGGGAGAGCAGACACCGAAAATGCAGCTGACCTGGAAAAGAGCCGCCAGCAGGGGGAGGCGTTGGATTCATCACAGAAGAAGACAAAGAACAAGAAGAAGAAAAACAAGAAGAAAAAGGCGCAGGCCCCCGTAGAATCCCTGCAAGATGTCAAGGACACGTTAACACGGCAGAACACGGGTACAGGGGGGGCTGAGGACGAGGGGCAGGCACCATTTGCTGACAGAAACCGAGTTACCAAAGCCCTAAACAAGACGACCAAAAATCCAAAACAGGAAATTGGGATAGGAAGCAATGACTATGTTGATTGTCCAGAAAATACTGAAATGATCCCCGAGGATAACGGGGTGGAACAAAGGGAAGGGGAGGCGGCAGCTGATGGAGACGCGTTGGCCTCCGGTGAGGGCGCAGGCCCGTCGGCAGGCTCCCGCGCTAGCGATGCATTCGATGGGCAGGCTACGAAGAGCGATGCTGGTGGTGTCACTCAGAGCAGTCCCGCCCAGCCCAAGAATAAAGTAGGAAACGGCAGCTCCCCTCCTCAAAATAAAAGTCCCTCCCAGGGCATTGAAGATGCCCAACACTCAGGTCAGACAGCTGGGAAAGTTCTAGACAGTATCAGTCTGGATAGTGATGACTTGTCAGCATCCGCAGGGGAGCTGGGAGACCTCGGCTCAGAAGGAGCAGGGAGTGAGCAGGGCAAGAGCAAAGAAGACTGTACCATGTCCTAGGCAAGCGGCAGGGAGGGCAGGTGGAGGAAGACAGGCTTCAGAGCGAGGCTGAGGACTCCGCCCAGAAAATCCAATCGTAAGAGACCCTTGTCTTTCCTCTCCATTGCTCATGTGCACAGAATGTTCTAAAATGCTGTAGAAGTACTGTATGACAATCATCCACTTTAAGTTATAGACTGTTACCAATAGATTAGTATTTAATTAGTATTTAATCATTGAGGTGATCACCTAGATTAGAAAGACACATTCGTTTTCATTTCAAGTTCTAATCGAGAGCATTCCGTGATAAATGCCAAACCATAGTGTGTGCCTTCACTATCTGTATTCCAGCCTAAAGTAAAAATATTTGCCTTAGGTCAATATGAATGTGGTGATTCTTGACCAAATATATCAGCCTTTAACTGAAATGACCAAATAGCATTCTTAGATTTCTGCATTATGAATATTATGGATATTTAAATAGCTACATCTCACTCAGATACATGTGCATTCATATTCAATTTTACTATGCACGTTAGAGACAATATGGCATATTATTTAGAGGAGATAAACACGCAGCATCTAGGTCACTGAGTGGTAAGACTTGCACCTTAGAACAACAGCTGATGGTTTTAGGGCGCAGAGATGCCCTGCCTTTCCCCAGAACTGTCACATCCCACACCAGTGCCTTCAGATCTCATTGCAATGATACCTGCATTTATTTTGTGGTTCCATGTTGATGATGTACCAAATTCATTTTACAAAAAGTTTTTAAAGGTTTTTTTTTTTTCTGGAAGTGATACATTGACATTTCACTTCCTATTGTAGAATTTAGGAGATACTGTCATTTAACAAATATATAACCTCAAATTTATTTCTCTGTTGAATGTCTAACTGTTGTTCCAAAGAAAAATACAAAAGGATACCTTTCGTACAAATTACTAAGGAGTAGTTTGCATAGAGTAGGGTATCTTAAAGAGTTGAATAACTTTTGGTATTTTGGCATAAATATTTTTGTTGTTTCTTGCTTTGATCTACTTGAAGGAGATACATACTTTCTATATAAAGACGCATTTAAAAAGAATTGTAAAGTTGAATAAAAAGTAACTGTAAAATTTTTTTAAACACAAGGGAATGTATATTATGAGTTGTTGACCCTTTGTGAAATTGTCAACTTGCACTACTGTTACAAGATATAAATGAACTCAAAAGGACCAAAACCTCAGCAGAATTTGAGGCAATCCTAAGGGTTATGTAATTGAAATAAAAAGCATTTTATAATTTTACAAGCCTGTGGTTTTGGTCTTTGGGTCCTTGAGCTGTGGCCCTGGCTCTGGTTCACACAGTGCCCTCTTGAAGCCATGCCCACTCTGCGGGCCACTCCAGGGTTCTAGACAGACCTCCTGCTCTTGCCTTCCTCAGTGATAAGTGAGCTCCTCTCTGGTGGCCAGCCTGGTGCCAGGGAGGGGCCCCCGAAAGGAAGACTTGGTGGTCCTCCTGTGTCTCCTGTGCTCCCTGGGCCGTCCTCGTCAGATCCTGATTGAGGGGGGTCTCCTTCGGGTGCTCTGCTTAACCATACTGGGACCAGGAGAGTTTGGGAGTGTAAGGACCGTGGTGAGAAAACCTTATGACCGTGCATGCGTCCTGAAGAAGAGGACGGTGGGGATGGAAAACTCCAGCTGTGTCACAGACAGAGAAAGGCAGGAGCCCTGGAGAGGCGGCCCAGGGCTGTGTAGGGCGGCTGTAACTTAAGCAGGACACATTCACCCTGGAATGTACGCTGGAAAACAGCTCTCATTCTACCTTCCAGAGCCTTCCAGGGAGTGAGCCAGCGACTGAGTCGCCAAGCGTTGACATCATGCGGCCGTTTTAAGTGCTTCCTTTCCCTCTCCTGTTCCTCACCAGCACGTGTCGGGCTCGCATCCCCCTCCGCTCAGCCACCCCAAATCTGTCATCTCCCCACCCCCATGTGTCTCACAGATGATCTTTACCCCTTTGTCACTGGAAGAAAACGGCTCACCACTGAGACCTTCAAGCCAAAAGCGGGGCTGTTTTTCCGGTGAAAGCAGAAAGTTGCTAGTGTAGGATCATGTGACTCCTTCAAAGGTGTAATGCTGAGTCTAAAGGCAAACAGGGAAGCTGAGAGGTGTGTAAGTGTCTGAACAGGGTACAGAAAATTTCACAAAGCCTGTAAGCATTCACTGCTTTCTGCCATTGCAGAGTATGTGCTTAGTATTTAGTACTATTATTATTAGTAATGCTTAGTACTTCCAGTGATGGAATACCTAGTGGCCTGAACCTGACATCTCCCTTCTCTCGAGGACCCTGGCACATGGCCACCAGGGTAGGTGGGGTGTCAGAGGGTTTGTCTCCTTTTCCACGGATGTGCTGCATCCTCACATAGCACCGTGACCTCATCGTGCAGGGAACACACCAAGACTCACCGCAGCGTCCTGCCCCTGGAGGAAGAACAGGATGGCAGCTGTGCCAAGGGCCTCTGCCTAGGCCGTGTGGTAGCCGTGTGCAGAACGCTTCATCTTCCAGAAGGAAAGTCCTCAGACTCTTCCCTTGTCCCCATCTCCTATCCCTCTCTCCTCCTCAGCTGGGACAGCTGGTGGCTGCTGGTGTGGGGAAGTGCTCTGCCCTGTACAGAGTTCTCTGCCTCCTGCCAGAACTAAGTGGGCCTGGCACTTCATCTCCTGGCCTCGGGAGATGGAGGCTGCCTGGTGGATTTCAGAAAAGTCAGTGAGAAGGGACAGAAGAAATATGATAGTTGCTTGGTTGTTTGTAAAATCCCACCCCCTTCCCCATGTTTGTGCACGCAGGGGGGAGGAGGGGGGACACTCCTGGGCAATGGGAAGAGGGGGCCTCGTGTCAAGGGGACCCGTGGATCCACGGCCAAAGCCCCCTCGATGCACCTGCTCTCTGAAATTAGCCCTCAGACTGCAAAATACACATTGCCAATGTTTGATCTGGAACGAGCCGCTTAACCTCAGGGTGCCGATGGGCAAGAGCCCGCCTTTCAGGTTGGAATGGAGACCAGATCGAGGTGAAGCACTGGGAATGTCAGTGCTTTCCGAGGGCCGCCTGGCTGTTGGTTTTTAAATCAAAACAAAGGTGTATTTTATATGAATTATTTTCTCTTCACACGGCCACTCAAAGGTAATTTTTCACTCAAGAATTTGGAGCCAGGAAGTGTGGCAGGAACGAAAGCTCAGGATGGGGGGCCAGGGTTCCACCCCAGAGGTGAGAGTCTGGATCTGGAAGGTCCACTGCGGCAGGGGGCAGGGGCACCCTTAGAAGGCCATTCAGATGTCCCGGGCCTCTGCCTCATCTGAAGGAGAGAGCACAGCGAAAGCTTGCCCAAGCAGCTCCGGGGCTAGCATGGGCTGATGACAGTGCCCACAGCCTTGTGTATGTATATGACGTACACTGGCATTTACATCACCAACTGTTGCCCTGATTTTGCATTTAAATGAGTGTAAATCTCCCCAAGCCTTGGTGGTCCCCGCTGTGGGTTGGAAGATTCTAGTTGGCACTCAGAGTGACACAGACCCTTCGGAGCCCGGGGTGAGAGGAATCCCAGAGCCCAGAACTGTTGGGCAACTATGTTGTCAGTGGGCGTGGAACTCATAAGTACAGAGGCAAGGCTCTGCACTAGTGAGTCTGTGAGACAGAGGGGAACCAAGAACTTCACCTGGGATGTAACCGTGGGAAGGAATTCTAAGGGAAACCTTGTTGCTCTTGGAACATTGATTTTCAGTGTGTTTATACCTTGCTCAAGATGTTAAACATGAAGCCTGTGAGATCTTGTGTTGCAGTGTGGTTTGCCTAGCGTTCTTGCATGCTAACCTAAGTAGAAGATTAGCCTGTTTGCATGAGCCGGAGGCCCTCCTGACGAGAAGCATGTCGGGAGGCTGGCGCCACCCCCTTGGCTGAGTTCCTCCCCATCCTGTCTGTGGCCTCATTCATCGTGGTATGTGTATAATGACTTGCATCACTTCACTAACTTGAATGAGCATTCTTCAATTAGTGCATGCTAAAAAGTGCAGCTTATGGATTCATCTGAACCTATGTCTTTCTGGTTTCTTCAGATAATAGGTTGAAAAAGCTTGTCGATGAGCGAGAATGCTTACTGGAACAGGTAATACAACCTTTTTACTATTTTATGAGTTCTTGAGCAAGACACCTGAAACCATAAGTGTTCTCCGTCTTACTTCTAGCTTATGTGGAAAATCTGTAGAACTGAACATGGTGCCTCATTCTCCTGCCTGGGAGATTGAGATTGAGAGGATCGAAGTTTAAGGCCAGCCCAGAGAAATAGTTCACGAGATTCTATTACAGCCAATAAGAAGCTGGGCAGAGTGGTACATAGCTGTCATCTAGGCTATGGAGAAGATATAAATAGTAGGGAGAGAGGGTGGGGGGAGAGGAAAAGGGAGGGAGAGAGAGAATGGATATGTTAACATAATAGAGGTAGAGAGCTATAATAAATAGTCTGGCTTGGGCAAAAAGACCCTGTTTAAAAAACAATGAAGGCAAAAATAGCTGGAGATGTGGTTAAAGCAGTATAGTACCTCCCAGAAAGCCCAAAGCCCTGTTTGCAAGCCTCAATGCTGCAAGGAGAAAGAAGAAAACCCCTGAAAACATCATGCCTAAAAAGTTAGCACACCAACCAGCTGTGTTGACTTGGTGATTTTGTCCGAATAGAACATCCTAAGTCATACGAGGCTTGGTGAGGATGCCACAAGGACTGAAAGCCATGGCGCTGAGTAAATGTAATGGAAGGCCAACTTTAACCATTGAGAGGCAAGACGTGTCCCAGTCATGATGTCCCCTTCTCCCCTGACTGCCTGCCCATGAAGATCCATTTTCTGCTCTCAGAAATCAGCATGTTCACTTGTAAAACTGATTAAAATGATTTAAACTGTAGCTTCCCTGCTCTTTCTGCCCCTCCCGAAAAGCAGCAGGTTGTAGTCCTCACTGGTCTTTCTTATATATGAAAGTGTTCCACAGCCACTTTTTAAAGAAACTCCCTCCTCCAATCCCCTCATAACCAAATGCAATTGCCTTTTACCATCTATTAGATTCTTTGAGAATTGGATGAAGCATTGAATACAGTGGAAGGAGTCTCTCAAAGCTCCTGTGTGTTTTCAGGAGCACACACCCACTGTAATTCTGTAATAATCTCCTTAGAGGAGTTTGCGCCTTGGGTCTGTAATCAGTGAGAAGAATGGGAGGAGGAAGGCAGGTGAGCCTCTACTCATGACTCCAGAGATTAGAAATTAAACACGAGGAGCAAGGGAAACCCCACCTCTGGATACTAGAAGATGCAGCCACGGCAGTCAGCCGGCCTTCACCTGCCCTTCACCGTGTGCTCTGTCTTTGAGAGAGGAAGTGTACACAGGCCACTTCCCTGAAGGCTGGCCAGCACCTCTGAGGAAACCTGCAGCTGGATCAGTGCCGTGAGAAAGGACAAGGTTTCCTTTGAGACTTCATTGCAATAGTTCTCTCCCAGTGGGCTCTGAGTGTTCCCTTCCGGCCTCCCTGTACATAAGCATGGGGTACAGGAACTTACATGTTTTAAGTATTTGATACACTGTCTCCTGAGTCCCAGAGGATCTTCCACTTCAGAAATAACTTCTTGCCCCGAGTTAGAAAACAGTTCATTGATGATACTCTTTTTTTTTTGGGGGGGGGGGTTCGGTTGTGGGGCCTGAACTCTGGGCCTGGGCGCTGTCCCTTAGCTCTTCAGCTCAAGGCTAGCGCTCTACCACTTGAGCCACAGCGCCACTTCCGGCTTTTTTCTTTTTGCTTATGTGGTGCTGAGGAATCGAACCCAGGGCCTCATGCATGCAAGGCAAGCGCTCTACCACTGAGTCACCTTCCTAGCCCCGATGATATTCTTTAATAAAAATAAATTAAAATTTTTAAAAAAGCAATTCTCCTTCCTGAGAATACTACCAGAATAAACTGCCCAGCAGGTTTCTTTTTTTTTTTTTTTTTGGTCATGGGGCTTGAACTCTGGGCCTGGGCGCTGTCCCTCAGCTCTTCAGCTCAAAGCGAGCGCTCTACCACTTGAGCTACAGCGCCACTTCCGGTTTTGTGGTGGTTTATTGGAGATAGGAGTCTCATGGTCTCTCCTGCCCGGGCTGGCTTTGAACTGCGATTCTCAGATCTCAGCCTCTTGAGTAGCTAGGATTACAGGCGTGAGCCACCAGCGTCCGGCTCCAGCAGGTTTCTTACTTTCCTGGCTGGTCTTTATGAAATGGGGCAAATTCCCTCT